TTCATTATTTATATTTTTCCAATTTCTTCTTTCATCCATTTTCTCAATCATTTCTTGAGTAACCCAAGGTTTTTTTATTCTAACACCATTTACATATCCAAGAAAATTTTCAGCCGATTCCTTTATTGTATCTTTAATTCTTTTCCAATTTTCGTTTGGGTCAAACTCACAGTCAAAGTCATATGGAAGTTCTTTTAATTTATATTCCAGGTTTTCTTTAAAATTTAATCCAGTATTTCCATTTAGCTTTTCCAAATTCCATCTTTTTATTCTTTTGGCTCTCAAAACTTTTTTCAATTTCATCACAATATCTGCAGTTAATAAGTTGTGATCAGAATCTGCATCTGCTCCTGGATATGTCTGAATTTTCTTGACTGCATTCCTAAAACGACTTTGAATAAGAATATAATCTATTTGATACCTTCCAATGTCTCCGGGCATTTTCCAAGTGTATAGTCGACGTTTGGATTGTTTGAACCATGTGTTTCCAACTATTAATTGATGCTTGGTAGCAAATTCAACTAGTCGTTCGCCTCTTTCATTCCTATTTCCTAGCCCAAACTTGCCCACAATTTTTCCATCTTCTCCTTCTCCTACAGATGCATTCCAATCTCCCATAACAATTAGGCATTTCTTAGTTTTATCATTTTCTATTATATCTTCAATTTGATCATAAATTTCTTCTACTTCTTCATCGTCATAGTCTCCAGTAGGCATGTATACTTGAAATATCAACATATCCACGGGATCGCTTTTTATTTTAATCATTAAAATTCTGCCACCTCTGCATTCAATTCTTTCAACTGAGTTTTTTACCTTCTCACCTAAAATAAATGCTACACCATTCTTTCCTTTAGTTCCACAAGAATAAATAACCCTGAATTCATCGCTAAAAAAATCACTGCTGTCCTCCCATCTAACTTCACTAAGCCCAAAAATATCCAAATTCTGCCTCTTCATTTCTCTCTTGACATTTTCCAACTTACCTGGTTGAAGCATGGTTCTTACGTAAAGTAAAGCCAATCTTAGCGCTCACTAACCATTGAGAAGACTAGACAAGAAGCGTATCATAGTATTCCATGTTCCTATTCGAATTCTTCCTATGGGGGTCTTCCTATGGGGGTTTTGCATGGTGACGACCTGGGAAGCCCCATAACTTTCCCTGCTGGGCATGACACCTTTCTTTTGGAGATGAATCCCATATTTGCCAGTATGATAAATAGGTTTTCTGCTTTCCATTAACAAGATTTTTAACTTGTACTCACAATGTCATATTAAAAATTCTATTATTATTATTTTATCAATCTATAAATAAATATTTTAATTGTTATAGTCATCCCAATAAACATTAGTTATGAAATTCTATTGGCTTTCATAGACCAATAGTATATATACCAGTAGAATTTTTTATTGATGTCTATTGATTTTATCACTCCAATAAAACCAACCAAAATACTAATAAAACTTGTTATTGGTTTATATATTTCCCTAAAGTATCAATAGAAGTTTTTATTGGTGGTTGTTTTTTTAACATGTTACATATTTTATTCATCAGTTATTATAAGCTTCTTGGTAATGACTTTAAAATAAACAGCAGCTAATTATAAAATGTAAATGCTTATTAATTCGTGAGACAATTTTTAAAATATGTAATTAAAGACTGCATGGTAAATTCAAAATAAGGATATTGTTTTACAATTTTGTATCTATAAGTACAGATACAAAATCATAACTCTGTAATTAGAAAATAGTAATCTTAGTTTTAATATTTACAATTTCTAATAATTAAATTTGTAAAATGAGTTTAGACTTTGGTATTCACAAAGCTTATTATATATAGTTTTCAAATAATTTCAGCCAAAAATAGGGAAAGAAATATCTAAATCCTATTCATATGAGATTGTAATGTGTCTTTCTGCAGGAATTAAGATCTAATGAAAAGGAATATGCTGAATTTTTGAATAAGTTGCATAATTGTGAACCAGTATCTGTCAACGATTTCTTAATGCAAAAAGATTCCATTAAACAAGCAAAAATATTACAAAACAGATGGAAAAGAAAATTTCATTTACAAAAGGTAAATAAATTTTATTAAATATTAATTTAATTATAAATACAGAATTCTATTTTAATTTTAAGAAAAATTTTTAAATTAAAATTATGTTTAAGTATAAACTTGTCTTACAATCTAAGTATAGTAGTAAGCAGAAATATGTAGGTGGTATAGGAAATCCTTATTAGTTCAAAATTCAAGGGACAAAATAATTGACTTCAAATTATCCAAGATTTACATATTTCTGTACAATATGCCAAATGCTGTCTAATTGATGTAAGTTATTAAGGAAATGGAATATGGTTATGTATACACAGTGCTATTCTTGTTAATTNGAAATCCTCATTAGTTCAAAATTCAAGGGACAAAATAATTGACTTCAAATTATCCGAGATTTACATATTTCTGTACAATATGCCAAATGCTGTCTAATTGATGTAAGTTATTAAGGAAATGGAATATGGTTATGTATACACAGTGCTATTCTTGTTAATTAATAATATATGAATAAAATTCAGGTAAACAGCATGTGTCCATTGAGAAGCTCACAAGTTGCCAAATAGGTTTTTCTAAAAGTAAAGCAGAATTCCTGAAAATGTAGCCCAAATTATTTTTAATGTGGGCCAAAACGTTGTAAGTTGCCCAAACATAGTAGCCTGGAACCTACAAATATTTCAATCTGTCACTTGTAGTCCAATCTTGCAATCCCAAAAAACAACTGTACCCACCAGATAAAAGAAAAAAAGGTAGTCCATGGTGACACCCGAAAATGTGTGAGTATAAAAGCAAAGCCATATTGACCAGATTAGAGTTATTCTTGGTGTATTGTTCTCTTATTACAGTATGGAGGCACTTCTAAGTGAATGAGTTAACATAGGTTCAGTCTTATTGTGTAAATCTCTATATCCCAGGCTGGGACAAAAGTACAAACTAATGAGATTTCAAACTATCTGAGTTTGAATTAACAAGGATTTCCTGTATTATATAAGAACAAGAAATAACTATTACTTTCCTATTGTTAAAGTTTAATGGTTTGCCCTATAGGAAAAATATGAATTCCAATTTGAAAAACAATGTTTTTCAAATTGGAATTCATATGTCATTTATTATATTTTATTTTTGAAGGAATTTTAATTTTCTCACAGATTTATACTTTTTTGACATGAAATCTTCCTGATGGAAATTGATATTTGAAATGAAAATCTTATGACAATGTATATATTTTAATTTTTGATTATCATTTCTTAGCTTTTTTAAAAGTAGCACTGTCTTTACAGAGACAGAATAATTTTCATAATGATTTTTCTTAATAATCAGCAAAGGCATGACATTCAAATTTACCATCTGCAAAACTTGCTTATGAAAATATAATTTTCAGACTGGCTGCTGGCTGGATGGTGAACTCTTTAATCCTAACTTTACTATTGAGTGGAATATTGACTCCACTGCTGGAGCACAGGTTTGGAAAGCCATTCATATGACAGTTAGTCAGTAGTAGCATTACNTGTAATATGTATATTAAGAGGATAGCAGCATGCCAATTTAACCCCAGTGGCTGAATGCTGAAATAAAAAATATTTTTTAATGAAAATTCAAACCACATACTCAGGAATATTATGTATACCAAATTTAATTACCAATAGCCAATGTTTAGAGCTTCCTACAGAAAGTTCTAAACAACTGCTCTTTAATTATGATTATCCTGTATTTTGGTACAGTAATTTACCCAACTTACGCAAACCCGTAGTTACTCGATTTTCAAATCTCGTCGATTCGTCTTTTGATACACAAGATTTTTCCATGAATGTCTTTATCACATTATCATATACATATTATCATGTCTTTGTCATATTATATATACACTTCTCCTGCAGTGAAGCCTTAGCTGGACAATAATGCTCACAATTCGACTTCTGTGTCACCTTACAGTACAAAAAAATCTCTTTAAAACTTGATGAGTTTTGCCACCAGATGCCACCTGTTGCTTTTATATATTTTAAACCATTCATATTTTATGGCAAATTAAAATTGAGTAGAACATCTGTATTAAAAGTTTTACTGTCGTTTTAAGAAATACATATATACAAAATATATATATATTGAAATATTAATGAAAAAGGACAAAGTGAATTAGTACCATAACAACTCTTATGAAAATTAATATACATTTTTTTTTAAACCTTTGAATGTAACATGAATAATAAATCTATTAATGGTTTTAGTAACTTCATTATGGCATACACCAATTAAATAGTTTGCCTAGAAGACAATAATATAAGAATGTAAGAAAAAATTTCAGAATATTTTTCTAAAGTTTTTTCCTTATATTCTTATATTTTTCATATTTTTTTCTTATATTGTTATTAAGTGATTAATGCCAAATACTATGTTTGTCCTAGAAGATACTAGAAATTTCTTTAAATATGCTTTCAACCATTGCTCCAGAAGTTTGATTTATACATTAGAATGTGTCATCTGCACAAAATTATGGCTTTTAGCTAAGCAAATATATACAATATTCTTTTAATCGAACATTTTTATTTTATGACTGCTATTTTTATAATTTATTTTTATATACAGTAGAGTCTCGAAAACTCGGCACTCGATAACCCAGCAGTCCAGATAACTCGGCCACACCCTGGCAGGGCAAAAAAATCCTTAATTAATTAATTTTCATTATAGACAGATTTATGCCTCAAAGTATTTTTCTGAGGTCTGTACACAGTGTATTCATTAATCATTTTCATGTAGTAAAGGCTCTATGCCTTCATAAAGGACGTACTTTTCCTTTGTTTAAGCGTATTTGGGCAGTTTATTCTCTGTTGTATTCTCAAGTAAACAATACATACAAGTACAGTACAGTATTTTCTGAGGAAACACTCATACTTATTCTTTTTAACCCCATTCCCGATAACCCAGCATTTTCACAAACTCGGCCATCCTTCGGTCCACATTAGGCCAAGTTTTCAAGACTCTACTGTATAAATATATTATGTCATTCTTGATATGTAGAATTCAATAAAATAAATAATAAAATTGATTCTGGGAATGTGACGGCTCCATGTGCTTAACTATCACTTTATCTAAATTCACATTTTCAAGAAGCCAGAAAATATTTCTTTGTTAAATGAAAGGCTAATAATTTTCAAATGTTTGTTATTTCATCGTCAAACTGTTGTAGTTTAACAAATATTTGAATTTCAGCATTTGTTAAACTGCAACTGTCTGATGAATATTTAGAAAATTTAGCCTTTCATTTAATAAAAAAAGATAGTCATGTTTTCAAGATACTAGAAAATGTTTAAAGTGATTGATAAGAAAATCAAGTTCTGTTGATATAACTTAATTTTTAACTGCTCATTGAACTATAGTCATTATTTAATGAACTGTATGATTTTTCTTCAGTTTTTCTTCTTCTGCAGCACTTTATACTAACGTAGGTAAACAGAAAGAAAACCTAGAAATGAAACATTTAAACTATTAACATTTATTACTATACATTTAAATATAGTAATAATATTTTATATTTTGATATTACATGACTTAAATAATGTCATTCACATACCAATAAAATTTCTGCTCCTGCAAAGACTAATGCACCCCAAGAAAATCCTATTTTTTCTAATAAATATCCACCAAGTGAAGGTCCTACAAAGTTTCTAAAATAAAAGTATAAAGAAATTAACTCACAAAACTTTATCTGATTTATTAATTATTTAAGTCAGTTTTTATATGAATAAATGCTGATTGTTAAAAAAATAAGAATTTAATTAAAATACATCCAATTCTATTTTTACAAAGATTTGTATCAATCTGATATTTCAATAAATTTGAAATTTAAGAAAAATATTCATATTTGCTTTCCTAGGAAATTAGTCTTATTAAAAAAAAGCTTAAAATTTACTTGAGCATGTTTAGCAACCATTAATGCAAATTTGGCTGTTTTAAGACTTATTTATGTAGCAACAATTAGTCTTTCATTCTGACTTTATCCCATAATTGAAGCAGTGAGAAAAAATTTAGTTTGAAGTTTGATTTGTGTATATGATTGCATTTATTGTGATTTCTTGCAACTCTTTGATTTTAAGATCAAATGGCATACAAAAAGCTAATTAAAGACTAGGTATTTAGCATTCTCTGTAGAAAGAATTATTAGGAAAATCTGAACTAAATTTGGTATACATACTTCATGAATGTGTGGTTTTGATTTTAAGTAAAAACTTTTACCTCAAAATTCAGCCACAAGGGCAAAATTTGGCCCTGCTATCCCCTTAATGTGCATATTATAATCGTTTCCCATCAAACTGTATATAAAAGGAGTCACAACAAATCTTCAACAGGTGAACAGTCATGGTACTCTGATCATGCACTGCTTGTTAAACTCTTCTACCTATATTCCATATCTGTAATTGAAATCAAATTATTGCACTTTGTTTCTTAACTTCCCAAATTCATTCAATTACATATGTAATATGTATATTAAGAGGATAGCAGCATGCCAATTTAACCCCAGTGGCTGAATGCTGAAATAAAAAATATTTTTTAATGAAAATTCAAACCACATACTCAGGAATATTATGTATACCAAATTTAATTACCAATAGCCAATGTTTAGAGCTTCCTACAGAAAGTTCTAAACAACTGCTCTTTAATTATGATTATCCTGTATTTTGGTACAGTAATTTACCCAACTTACGCAAACCCGTAGTTACTCGATTTTCAAATCTCGTCGATTCGTCTTTTGTTTGAGTGCCATGCAACTCTTGGTTACTCACTCCCCCCACACCATTGTTCAGCTTACATGTTCAGACGTGTCACGCGGAATCGACACATAGCTACAATTTATTTTGAGTTATTTTTTTCTGTGTTTGTTATATCTACGGAGACTTGAGAGACTCTATGTGATGATTTCTTGTAACCGTGAATGAATCAAAAGACAAGATAAGATTAACGAGAACATTTATTAGCTTACATACATCCGATTTGGATTTTACATAAATTGCGCAATTATACCCCGACTTACGTGAATTCGACTTACGCGGTTATTGCTCGGTCCCACCTATCGCGTAAGTTCGGGATATTACTGTATTTAAGTGAAAAAAAGCCAAATAAAAAGTAAAATTTATTAGCAAAATTTTACAACTTTATATTTTATAAGTAAATTACTATTTTTAGTTTATCACCTAAAATTACAACAATAATATAATTTATTATTATTTGATAAATAAAACTCTTGTTTGATAGGTATTTGTATCTTCCATATGTGAAGTTTAGGAGGTTCCATGTTTTTGTCTCACTTATTTTATAATTAAAACTTTTTTTACACTTCTTTATAGATGTAATGTTTGAGATTTACTAGCATGCAGTTAGAAAGTATGTGCCATGCTTTCTGGAGGTGCAAAATATATGGTGGGTCAGGTTATGCAAAGATTTTGTTCCTGTTCTAATGATTTTCTGTGGGATATATGCTATCATAGGTTATCTGCATGAAATTATTGTAGCTTAAATAAAATAGTTTTAATAAAAATGTAATTCAAATGTAATTACCCAAATGATTGTGCTGAACCAGCCATTGATGATACAAGTCCATAAGTTTTTATATCCTCAGGATAACCACGGATGCTAAAAAAACCATATTTCAAAAATTATATATAATAATTTGGCCATCCTTCGGTCCACATTAGGCCAAGTTTTCAAGACTCTACTGTATAAATATATTATGTCATTCTTGATATGTAGAATTCAATAAAATAAATAATAAAATTGATTCTGGGAATGTGACGGCTCCATGTGCTTAACTATCACTTTATCTAAATTCACATTTTCAAGAAGCCAGAAAATATTTCTTTGTTAAATGAAAGGCTAATAATTTTCAAATGTTTGTTATTTCATCGTCAAACTGTTGTAGTTTAACAAATATTTGAATTTCAGCATTTGTTAAACTGCAACTGTCTGATGAATATTTAGAAAATTTAGCCTTTCATTTAATAAAAAAAGATAGTCATGTTTTCAAGATACTAGAAAATGTTTAAAGTGATTGATAAGAAAATCAAGTTCTGTTGATATAACTTAATTTTTAACTGCTCATTGAACTATAGTCATTATTTAATGAACTGTATGATTTTTCTTCAGTTTTTCTTCTTCTGCAGCACTTTATACTAACGTAGGTAAACAGAAAGAAAACCTAGAAATGAAACATTTAAACTATTAACATTTATTACTATACATTTAAATATAGTAATAATATTTTATATTTTGATATTACATGACTTAAATAACGTCATTCACATACCAATAAAATTTCTGCTCCTGCAAAGACTAATGCACCCCAAGAAAATCCTATTTTTTCTAATAAATATCCACCAAGTGAAGGTCCTACAAAGTTTCTAAAATAAAAGTATAAAGAAATTAACTCACAAAACTTTATCTGATTTATTAATTATTTAAGTCAGTTTTTATATGAATAAATGCTGATTGTTAAAAAAATAAGAATTTAATTAAAATACATCCAATTCTATTTTTACAAAGATTTGTATCAATCTGATATTTCAATAAATTTGAAATTTAAGAAAAATATTCATATTTGCTTTCCTAGGAAATTAGTCTTATTAAAAAAAAGCTTAAAATTTACTTGAGCATGTTTAGCAACCATTAATGCAAATTTGGCTGTTTTAAGACTTATTTATGTAGCAACAATTAGTCTTTCATTCTGACTTTATCCTATAATTGAAGCAGTGAGAAAAAATTTAGTTTGAAGTTTGATTTGTGTATATGATTGCATTTATTGTGATTTCTTGCAACTCTTTGATTTTAAGATCAAATGGCATACAAAAAGCTAATTAAAGACTAGGTATTTAGCATTCTCTGTAGAAAGAATTATTAGGAAAATCTGAACTAAATTTGGTATACATACTTCATGAATGTGTGGTTTTGATTTTAAGTAAAAACTTTTACCTCAAAATTCAGCCACAAGGGCAAAATTTGGCCCTGCTATCCCCTTAATGTGCATATTATAATCGTTTCCCATCAAACTGTATATAAAAGGAGTCACAACAAATCTTCAACAGGTGAACAGTCATGGTACTCTGATCATGCACTGCTTGTTAAACTCTTCTACCTATATTCCATATCTGTAATTGAAATCAAATTATTGCACTTTGTTTCTTAACTTCCCAAATTCATTCAATTACATATGTAATATGTATATTAAGAGGATAGCAGCATGCCAATTTAACCCCAGTGGCTGAATGCTGAAATAAAAAATATTTTTTAATGAAAATTCAAACCACATACTCAGGAATATTATGTATACCAAATTTAATTACCAATAGCCAATGTTTAGAGCTTCCTACAGAAAGTTCTAAACAACTGCTCTTAATTATGATTATCCTGTATTTTGGTACAGTAATTTACCCAACTTACATAAACCCGTAGTTACTCGATTTTCAAATCTCGTCGATTCGTCTTTTATTTGAGCGCCACGCAACTCTTGGTTACTCACTCCCCCCACACCATTGTTCAGCTTACATGTTCAGACGTGTCACGCGGAATTGACACATAGCTACAATTTATTTTGAGTTATTTTTTTCTGTGTTTGTTATATCTATGGAGACTTGAGAAACTCTATGTGATGATTTCTTGCAACCGTGAATGAATCAAAAGACAAGATAAGATTAACGAGAACATTTATTAGCTTACATACATCCGATTTGGATTTTACATAAATTGCGAAATTATACCCCGACTTACGCGAATTCAACTTATGCGGTTATTGCTCGGTCCCACCTATCGCGTAAGTTTGGGATATTACTGTATTTAAGTGAAAAAAAGCCAAATAAAAAGTAAAATTTATTAGCAAAATTTTACAACTTTATATTTTATAAGTAAATTACTATTTTTAGTTTATCACCTAAAATTACAACAATAATATAATTTATTATTATTTGATAAATAAAACTCTTGTTTGATAGGTATTTGTATCTTCCATATGTGAAGTTTAGGAGGTTCCATGTTTTTGTCTCACTTATTTTATAATTAAAACTTTTTTTACACTTCTTTATAGATGTAATGTTTGAGATTTAGTAGCATGCAGTTAGAAAGTATGTGCCATGCTTTCTGGAGGTGCAAAATATATGGTGGGTCAGGTTATGCAAAGATTTTGTTCCTGTTCTAATGATTTTCTGTGGGATATATGCTATCATAGGTTATCTGCATGAAATTATTGTAGCTTAAATAAAATAGTTTTAATAAAAATGTAATTCAAATGTAATTACCCAAATGATTGTGCTGAACCAGCCATTGATGATACAAGTCCATAAGTTTTTATATCCTCAGGATAACCACGGATGCTAAAAAAACCATATTTCAAAAATTATATATAATAATATATTACATTAAAAGTAAATGTAGTAGTGTAGGCAGGATATGGCTATTCTGGCACTGACTATAGGTTCCAATAATTTTGATTTGATTTATTACATCAATAATAATTACCTAACTTCAAGTAAAATAATTTGAGACTATATTTATTGTCTTCATACATTTTAACCACTTTGTGATTAAAATGTACGAAGAGAGTAATAAATAATAATAATAATAATTAATAAAACTGATTTAAAATATTTAAATATTGTTTATCATAAATTTGTTTTATTGAAATATTTATTTCTACTTTTTAAAAATATCAATAAAAGTAAGGTTTGACGAGAAAAGTACAATTAGATGAAAAATAATCATCATTCTGAATGGATCTACTAGAAACATCTAGACATTTTCTTTAGGCAGAAATTTCTTTATCTTTAGGCGGAAATATCTTCAGAAATTTCTGCCTAAAGACAACGAAAAAGTAACTATAAAAAGTAGGAACAGGTAAAAATATTATATGATTTTATATGAATAAACTTTAAATACATTTTATGAGATTTTAAATTACTTTATACAACTAAAAAATATAATTAAAAATTAATAAATTTATCACTTTTTCAAATAATTAACTTTCTAAAATTTGAGACAGATGGAAAGTAACAGTTGAATACTCAGGTAATTATACCAATTAGTATTTTTCACTCCATTTGAATTTCTATAAATAGGTAGAAACCATTGTTATTGATATAACCAATCATGATTTTCTATCTTGCAAGTATTTTTCTCTTTGCAGTCGTTTCGGCAATTCCAAGTGGTAAGAATACGATTATTATTATTTTAATAATACTGTTAATCTTAAAAATTAAATATACAGACCTATTTTCAAATGGAATTTTGAACAGATTTTCTTATATTTCGGATATTACTCTTTTTTCCTCTATTATCAATAATTAAGCGAAGGATTGCGGGAATAATAACTTATCAAAAAATAGCGTAAACTTTTACTTTCCTGGCTTTTATTACACACGAAAGTATTGTAATCGTATCAATTTGATCCTCAGGGCAAATCTCGAAGTTTTGAGAATTCAACAATATCAAAAAATAAGAAAAAATTCTAGGGTCGTGTGAGTGTGTGTGTGTTGGAGTCTATTTCGTTTAATATTTAAAGATGGAGTAAAGGTTAACTAACAAAACTAGGCATTGTAACTTTTGTATAATAGACATTGATACTACAGTAGAGCGTCGATTTTCCGAAAGTCAATCATCCGAAACGTCAATCATCCGAAACGTCAATCATCCGAAAGAATTCCAGTCGGCAAATTTAAATTTTCGCCAGTGCTGTGGCGCTTCAATCTTTGGCTAGGTCTTGGGCTACTCAAACATTTTACGTTTTTGATACTAAATTAACATCTGAAGTATAATTTTTTATTATTTTTATATTTTNTTACAACAACTTTTGTTAGACATTTAATAAAACAAATTTCAATATTTTAAATTTATAAACAAACTGTTCAAACTTTTCTAGAAAAACTAAAATTTATTGTTGTGTATTAAATATTTTTTATTAATAAAAATTTAAGATTTGTTTTAGTTTTTCACATTATTTAGTTTTGTTTTATTTATTGTTTTATATTTCTTGTGTGCTCTATTTCTAGTGTGAGAAAGGGGGGCCCGTAAGAAGAAAATGTCTAGGGCCCCAAAGTGGGTTAATCCGGCCCTGCCTTATATTAAAAAACACATTTGCATGTTTCTTACTATAAAACAATTTATTATTATAAAATCATAATTCTACATCAATGGTAGAAAGTAGTTGGAATATGTTATATCTATCTGTCTTTAATATTATTTTAATAAATTATTCTAAATGCAGATTAATAATTTTATAATAAATACACAAACAATAATAAATAAAATACATTTTAACCACAAGGTTAACCACCTTGTGGTTAAAATGCATTTTATTTCTTATTGTTGTGATGCTTATAGGTTGAACTTGTTTATATGCTAGTTGTATTTAACCTGTAAACATAATAATATATAAAACACAATGGAATATGAATAAATTCAACTAAATTATATATAAAAGTAAATCTCAACTTTGTAAATATTCTTAGGAATGATGTTTTACATCCAGTAAATGGCAATACAGAATTATTGTAAAGATGGGAGAAATCCAGAAAATTCTTGTATAATTTTTAATGAATAACCCCATTTCTGCACTAATAAGATTTGAATATAATTATAAAAGTATTAATTAATACTATTCGTTTGAATTTAGAATAATTTATTAAAATAATATTAAAGAGAGATAAATGTAACATATTCCAACTACTTTCTATCATTGATGTAGAATTATGGTTTTATAATAATAAATTCTTTTATAGTAAGAAACATGCAAATGTGTTTTTTAATATAAGGCAGGGCCGGATTAACCCACTTTGGGGCCCTAGACATTTTCTTCTTACGGGCCCCCCTTTCTCACACTAGAAATAGAGCACACAAGAAATATAAAACAATAAATAAAACAAAACTAAATAATGTGAAAAACTAAAACAAATCTTAAATTTTTATTAATAAAAAATATTTAATACACAACAATAAATTTTAGNCATTGATGTAGAATTATGGTTTTATAATAATAAATTCTTTTATAGTAAGAAACATGCAAATGTGTTTTTTAATATAAGGTATGATATAATTATACTATAATATTTTAAGGATAAAATCTAGTAGTAGTTAATATAAAGAAAGCATTTGATTGGAATATTTGTGTGTTGTTTTTCCAACTTAATACAGTATTACTTCACCACCAGAGTATAGATGATAATTTTCTTGTCTGAATTTATCTTTTATTAATTATACCTATTACTGTGAAAAAATCACGATTGTATTAGTTTTATAATAAATTTTATTGCTTACATATGACTATTTTAAAGTGCATTGTAAAGTAAAATTAATTTGTTTAATACATTTCAATTTATGTGGAGTATTCATTCCATGTGGGTTTTTTTTTACAGTTTTAAACTGCTTAAATTACCAGCTAAGATTCTAGTCTTACCATTCATGATTCATAAACACAGATTAATACATGAATTAGTTTTAATTATTTCATTATTTAAATTTTTGAAAGGATTTCAAAGTAATTGGTTTTTTAATGAATTTTTTTGTGTGGAGTGCAGAAAAGTAAATTTGTTATCTCTCTATATGAAGATGTTTAATATGCTCTCTGTAAATTGATGAAAACAAAGTCAGAATATATAAAAAGTCAATCAAGTAAGAACTTTTGGCACATTAATATATACTAACTTCAATAAATACTATAGAAAAATGAGACTGTGTATAAAGAGTACATGTAAATTGTGGAATGAATGTATTAATTAATTCAAATAATGTTAGAACATTATTATGATAATAATTCATTATATATTCAGACTGAAAAGTATTTTTAACATATTATATCTAAGTTATTATAGAAAATACATCAACTTACTGGACAGTATCTTGCAAAGTTCCAATAAAAGGTGAAACATAACAACAGGACACACCAATTCCAGCTATTGCAAGTGAAACTATCACTAACCACAATTGTCTGAAATATTTTTTAAAAGTTATGTTTTTTATAAAATAAAATTATTTAATGCTTAGATTGGAAATTAGTTAAAATTATGTTATGTTTATTATGGATCAAATAGTTAAAATATTCAAGATTTGAACAATACCTAAATTTAACAGAATCTATTAGTACATTTACAATATAATTAGAATGAAATTATTATAATTAAACTGTACTTACGATGGAAGGTTTAGAAATGGTGCAGGACCAATGAATAAAAATGAAACTGATAATAAAATACCTCCAACTATACTCAGACATTTAGTGTTAATCTAAAAATATTACACATTTTTGAATTTGAAATGCATAGAATTTAGTTTTACTTAATTATAAAAACAAATCTATTAATAAATTTACCTTATGGTCACAGATAAAACCCCAAATAGGTGCTGATATGGAATATGACAAACCTGCAGTTACAAATATAACGGATACAGTCATTGTAGATAACTGAAACTGTATTTCAAATTGTAATCAGTTTTAGAAAATTTTGGAATAAGAACAACTTTTTTGATAAAAATTTATGATAAAACATAAGATTAATTTTCAAGAATTGAAAAGGATAATTCAATTTTTACTGATAGTTATGTAAATAATTTTTAATTTATTACTTTTTTAACCGTAAATTAAATTGCATAAATAAAAAAAATTAATTTACCTGTCTTAGATGTGGTTCTAATACAGCTGATATATATCCAATGAACATGCATGATGTACTAATAATTGTTGCATCAATAATTAAGGAAAAGTTAAGCCAGAATTTCAAAAGCTTTCCAGATGCCATTTCTGGAGAGGGACCTGTTTGTTATTAATTTATTAATTCATAATAATTTTGTTTCTATAAAAATAATCATAATTAAATATAATCAAAAATACTTACTACATGTAGGCAGAATAAAATATGTAAAAAAAACACAAAGAAGTATAAAACTGCCTAATGTTACAAATGGTAATAGGAACTCTCCTAGCTGTAAAAATAATGTTTTACTAAATAATTGAAAACTTAAGATTTTTCATATGTAGAAGTTTTGTAAAGATAAAAATGATTAGTGAAATGGAAAGCATTGATAATTTTCATAATAATTGATAATAATTAATCATAAATTTTATGAACTGTTTTAAAAAACTGACAAATGATATAGATCAATTTTTAAATAATTGGTAAAATATCTTTTCAATATCTACAATGCTAGTATTTTATCTATTACTGAATCTATAGCTTATATCTATATATAAAATAGAATGTGTCTATTTGTCCTCTACATGCTTCTAAACTCTTTGGTCAATCTGCATCAAATTTTTCATAATTCTTCTTCAGAAAATACAGGCTATTATAAAGTTTCTTCCTCTCTCTTTGATTTTATTCCTTTGACAATTTATGAAAATTTAAGTTTCTCATATTATATAAGTAAGCCTTGCATAATGAAGGTTCATACAATCCATGAATCATATTATTAGTGATTTTAAAGATTATAGGGTTTTCTTTGAAATTCTGGATTTGGAAACCTTGCCAAAATAATGCTGTTGATTTTAGTTGGCCTAAAATAACCAAGCTTTTAACACGACTTTAATTTTAATATTTGTTCTTATTACTTTTTGCCTGGGTAAATGCTAGCATTTCTGCTAGTTACATGAATATACAGGTAACCCTTGTATAACACGGTAGTTGCGTTCCAAAAAATTGCCGTGTTATGCGAATCTGTGTTATACAAAACAAAGAACTAATACGAAAAGGAGGGTTAGGTTCCAAAAATTAAAAAACATGCTAGTATATTTTCATAATTAAGATAAATATCTTCATTAAAAATTTTTTAAGTGATACATATTAATATAAATTAAACAATGTTTTCTTAGTCATCACTAAAAACACTATTAATTAACCGAGAGCGTTTTCTTTTTGGCAA